ATACGAGCGGAGCAAAAACTCAGCTATTGTGCCGTAAAATTAAGAGTTAAGGCTGCTCTTTCACACTATTTTAAAGCTTTTTTTCAAGATTTTGAGCATTACGAGCTATACTTTGACTGAGATCTCAACATTCCAATAATATCATGTTTGGTGCTATATACTAGCGGAGCAAAAACTCAGCTATTGTGCCGTAAAATTAAGAGTTAAGGCTGCTCTTTCACACTATTTTAAAGCTTTTTTTCAAGATTTTGAAGCATTACGAGCTATACTTTGACTGAGATCTCAACATTCCAATAATATCATGTTTGGTGCTATATACGAGCGGAGCAAAAACTCAGCTATTGTGCCGTAAAATTAAGAGTTAAGGCTGCTCTTTCACACTATTTAAAAGCTTTTTTCAAGATTTTGAAGCAGTACGAGCTATACTTTGACTGAGATCTCAACATTCCAATAATATCATGTTTGGGTCTATATACGAGCGGAGCAAAAACTCAGCTATTGTGCCGTAAAATTAAGAGTTAGGCTGCTCTTACACACTATTTTAAAGCTTTTTTTCAAGATTTTGAAGCAGTTCGAGCTATTCTTTGACTGAGATCTCAACATTCCAATAATACCATGTTTGGTGCTATATACGAGCGGAGCACAAACTCAGCTATTGTGCCGTAAAATTAAGAGTTAAGGCTGCTCTTTCACACTTATTTAAAGCTTTTTTCAAGATTTTGAAGCAGTACGAGCTATACTTGGACTGAGATCTCAACATTCCAATAATACCATGTTTGGTTCTAAATACGAGCGGATCAAAAAAACTCAGCAATTGTGGCCGTAAAATTAAGAGTTAAGGCTGCTCTTTCACACTATTATAAAGCTTTTTTTTCTAGATTTTGAAGCAGTACGAGCTATACTTTGACTTAGATCTCAACATTCCAATAATACCATGTTTGGTGCTATATACGAGCGGAGCAAAAACTCAGCTATTTGCCGTAAAATTAAGAGTTAAGGCTGGCTCTCTTCACACTTATTTAAAGCTTTTTTTCAAGATTTTGAAGCAGTACGAGCTATACTTTGACTGAGATCTCAACATTCCAATAATACCATGTTTGGTGCTAAATACGAGCGGAGCAAAAACTCAGCTATTGTGCCGTAAAATTAAGAGTAAAGGCAGCTATATCACACTATTTAAAGCTTTATTTTCAAGATTTTGAAGCAGTACGAGCTATACTTGGACTGAGATATCAACATTCCAATAATACCATGTATTGTTGCTATATACGGGCGGAGCAAAAACTCAGCTATTGTGCCGTAAAATTAAGTGTTAAGGCTGCTCTTTCACACTATTTTAAAGCTTTTTTTCAAGATTTTGAAGCAGTACGAGCTATACTTTGACTGAGATCTCAACATTCCCATAATACCATGTTTGGTGCTAAATACGAGCGATGCAAAAAACTCAGCAATTGTGCCGTAAAATTAAGAGTTTAGGCTGCTCTTTCACACTATTTTAAAGCTTTTTTTTTCAAGATTTGAAGCAGTACGAGCTATACTTGGACTGAGATCTCAACATTCCAATAATACCATGTTTGGTTCTAATACGAGCGGATCAAAAAACTCAGCAATTGTGCCGTAAAATTAAGAGTAAGGCTGCTCTTTCACACTATTTTAAAGCTTTTTTTCAAGATTTTGAAGCAGTACGAGCTATACTTGGACTGAGATCTCAACATTCCAATAATACCATGTTTGGTGCTAAATACGAGCGATGCAAAAAACTCAGCAATTGTGCCGTAAAATTAAGAGTTAAGGCTGCTCTTTCACACTATTTTAAAACTTTTTTCAAGATTTTGAGCAGTACGAGCTATTCTTTGACTAAGATCTCAACATTCTAATAATACCATGTTTGGTGCTATATACGAGCGGGAGCAAAAACTCAGCTATTGTGCCGTAAAATTAAGAGTTAAGGCTGCTCTTTCACACTATTTAAAAGCTTTTTTTCAAGATTTTGAAGCAGTACGAGCTATACTTGGACTGAGATCTCAACATTCCAATAATACCACTGTTTGGTGCTAAATACGAGCGATGCAAAAAAACCAGCAATTGTGCCGTAAATTAAGAGTTAAGGCTGCTCTTTCACACTATTTTAAAGCTTTTTTTCAAGATTTTGAAGCAGTACGAGCTATTCTTTGACTAAGATCTCAACATTCTAATAATACCATGTTTGGTGCTATATACGAGCGGAGCAAAAACTCAGCTATTGTGCCGTAAAAATTAAGAGTTAAGGCTGCTCTTTTCACACTATTTTAAAGCTTTTTTCAAGATTTTGAAGCATTACGAGCTATACTTTGACTGAGATCTCACATTCCAATAATATCATGTTTGGTGCTATATACTAGCGGAGCAAAAACTCAGCTATGTGCCGTAAAATTAAGAGTTAAGGCTGCTCTTTCACACTATTTAAAAGCTTTTTTTCAAGATTTTGAAGCCAGTACGAGCTATACTGGACTGAGATCTCAACATTCCAATAATACCATGTTTGGTGCTAAATACGAGCGAATGCAAAAAACTCAGCAATTGTGCCGTAAAATTAAGAGTTAAGGCTGCTCTTTCACACTATTTAAAGCTCTTTTTCAAGATTTTGAAGCATTACGAGCTATTCTTTGACTAAGATCTCAACATTCTAATAATACCATGTTTGGTGCTATATACGAGCGGAGCAAAAAACTCAGCTATTGTGCCGTAAAATTAAGAGTTAAGGCTGCTCTTTCACACTATTTAAAGCTTTTTTTCAAGTTTTTGAAGCATTACGAGCTATACTTTGACTGAGATCTCAACATTCCAATAATATCATGTTGGTGCTATATACTAGCGGAGCAAAAACTCAGCTATTGTGCCGTAAAATAAGAGTTAAGGCTGCTCTTTCACACTATTTTAAAGCTTTTTTTTCAAGATTTTGAAGCATTACGAGCTATACTTTGACTGAGATCTCAACATTCCAATTATATCATGTTTGGTGCTATATACGAGCGGAGCAAAAACTCAGCTATTGTGCCGTAAAATTAAGAGTTAAGGCTGCTCTTTCACACTATTTAAAAGCTTTTTTTCAAGATTTGAAGCAGTACGAGCTATACTTGGACTGAGATCTCAACATTCCAATAATTACCATGTTTGGTGCTAAATACGAGCGATGCAAAAAACTCAGCAATTGTGCCGTAAAATTAAGAGTTAAGGCTGCTCTTTCACACTATTTTAAAGCTTTTTTTCAAGATTTGAAGCAGTACGAGCTATTCTTTGACTAAGATCTCAACATTCTAATAATACCATGTTTGGTGCTATATACGAGCGGAGCAAAAACTCAGCTATTGTGCGTAAAATTAAATTAAGAGTTAAGGCTGCTCTTTCACACTATTTTAAAGCTTTTTTTCAAGATTTTGAAGCATTACGAGCTATACTTTGACTGAGATCTCAACATTCCAATAATAACATGTTTGGTGCTAAATACGAGCGGAGATAAAAACTCAGCAATTGTGCCTTAAAATTAAGAGTTATGGTTGCTCTTTCACACTATTTTAAAGCTTTTTTTCAAGATTTTGAAGCAGTACGAGCTATACTTGGACTGAGATCTCAACATTCCAATAATACCATGTTCGGTGCTAAATACGAGCGATGCAAAAAACTCAGCAATTGTGCCGTAAAATTAAGAGTTAAGGCTGCTCTTTCACACTATTTTAAAGCTTTTTTTCAAGATTTTGAAGCAGTACGAGCTATTCTTTGACTAAGATCTCAACATTCCAATAATATCATGTTTGGTGCTATATACGAGCGGAGCAAAAACTCAGCTATTGTGCCGTTAAATTAAGAGTTAAGGCTGCTCTTTCACACTATTTTAAAGCTTTTTTTCATGATTTTGAAGCAGTACGAGCTATACTTTGACTGAGATATCAACATTCCAATAATACCATGTTTGTTGCTATATACGGGCGGAGCAAAAACTCAGCTATTATGCCGTAAAATTAAGTGTTAAGGCTGCTCTTTCACACTATTTTAAAGCTTTTTTTCAAGATTTTGAAGCAGTACGAGCTATACTTTGACTGAGATCTCAACATTCCAATAATACCATGTTTGGTGCTAAATACGAGCGGAGCAAAAAACTCAGCAATTGTGCCGTAAAATTAAGAGTTAAGGCTGCTCTTTCCCAGGCAAAAGTTTTGAGCAAGCTGGAAAGTGTGAGCAGGCCTTGCTCATTCTTGTCCTGCTCCATTCCTGCCTATATTTCAAACAAATGCAGCAAGCTCTGCTCGCAAAACAAGTGAAGCTACCCCTGCTCATTCTTGCTCTCCCTGCCCAAACCTCTGCTCGTTTTTGCTTTCTCTGCTCGCGACTTTAAAACCACGTTGCTCGTGCTCTGCTCGATCCTGCTTTTTCTGCTCGTGACTTTCAAACCCCATGCCATTGCTCGTAGGGCTGCTCATTCTTGCTCTTCCTGCTCAAAACTTTGCTCAATCTTGCTTTTTCAGCTCGCAAATGAAATCCTTAGCTTGAAGTCTGCTCGTTCTTGCTTTCTTTGCTCACATGACATTAAAAAACGATGCTTCTCTTTTTTTTCTAACTTAAATTATTTATTCTATCTAAGAGTTATAAACTTTTGATAAGAATATTTTTTCATACACATTTCTCTATCAATATGCATAACTTTTAACTTGATTCACGTCTTTAGGTTAGACTGTATTAAATTTTATTATTTTTTTATTCAACTTTAAAGACAAAAAAAATATTGTTGATCGTTGCTCTTATTTATCTTTTTAACATCTGCGCACACATTGGTGCAAAAAAATATTTTTAAACACTACTAAAATCCAAAACGTAATTAATAAATGCATTCAAAGATTTCAAAGAATGAATTAAAATTATTTTAACCAACATAACAATTTATATCTTATGCTGGGTTACATAAACTATGAACAACTTATTACATTTAAATTATTTCAAAGCAATTACGATTTAAATGCAAATATATTTAAGGGGGAAACATATTTATTTATTGTAAAAAGCAATATTCTTAAGTATTGGCAAACATGCTTTTACTTTTCTATAGGTGAATCCGCAAGTTTTATTTCAACGATTAAAATAAAGAATAATAGGGACAAAACATTTTTAAAATGATTTCAATTTTGGCGGTGACAAAAATATTTATATTTAATATATATTTTTTTAAGTTTATTAACTGGAAAAACGGGAAACAGGTTCAGGTCTAATGATAATACATATATAACTTAAACAAGTTTGGATGTTGAAGAATAATTTTATTGAAATCCAATTTAAAATATCATTCCTGCAGAAAAAAACGTGAGATTTTTACTTATCTGTGTGAAAGTGGAAAGGCTGCCACATTATTATGTTCCCCGGAAATTTCCTAAAGCCAATGGCTACCTTACAATTAGATTCACTCAGATCCAGCCAGAAATGCGTCTTAAAATTGGATATACATATTTAGATGAACAAGATATAAATATATTCTTAATTTTTCATACCTGTTTGGTATTAAACACACGCTAAAGGCTCCCTCATTTTCTCTTTTCAATTACTTCAATCACACGCTGCAGCTCCTTTCCAATTTGATTTCTGCCAAAAATCCATGATTTAACTTAAAATTACGAGCGGGTTTATGATTACTTACGTTGAGATAACATCTCTGCAGACACTTTGCTTGATTTTCACTTGAATTTCCCACCTAAACTCGCGTAAACTCGCAGTTCCCTTCAGAAACAACCGCTTTGTTTTGCTTGCCGACGCTCTGTGCAGTAACAACACGCACAGTGACGCTCATTTGTTTTAACCGTTCAAAAAGTGGCGCCATGAGCAGGATTGGCAAGATTGAGCAGACCTTGCTTGATGATAAAAGACCGAGAGCAAGAATAGCAAGGCTTGCTCATTGGAGCAGGATTGAGCAAAGCTTGCTTTGTGCCTCGGAATTTGTCAGAGCAGAAAAAGCAAACGTGAGCAGGTCTTGCTCGATGCCAAAATTATCGGTGAGCAAGGAAAGCGGGAATGAGCAAGTTCAGCTTCCTTGAGCTGAGTGAGCAGAGCTTGCTCAAGCTCCCCGAGCAGGATGAGCAAGAAAAAGCTGAGCAAGAATATCTCCAAATCCCTTTCGAGCAGGCTGAGCAAGGCCTGCTCTGCTCATTTCTTGCTCAAATTGAATAATCTTGCTCAAAACTTTTGCCTGGGTTTCACACTATTTTAAAGCTTTTTTTCAAGATTTTGAAGCAGTACGAGCTATACTTTGACTGAGATCTCAACATTCCAATAATACCATGTTTGGTGCTAAATACGAGCGATGCAAAAAACTCAGCAATTGTGCCGTAAAATTAAGAGTTAAGGCTGCTCTTTCACACTATTTTAAAGCTTTTTTTCTAGATTTTGAAGCAGTACGAGCTATACTTTGACTGAGATCTCAACATTCCAATAATACCATGTTTGGTGCTAAATACGAGCGATGCAAAAAACTCAGCAATTGTGCCGTAAAATTAAGAGTTAAGGCTGCTCTTTCACACTATTTTAAAGCTTTTTTTCAAGATTTTGAAGCAGTACGAGCTATACTTTGACTGAGATCTCAACATTCCAATAATACCATGTTTGGTGCTAAATACGAGCGGAGCAAAAAACTCAGCAATTGTGCTGTAAAATCAAGAGTTAAGGCTGCTCTTTCACACTATTTTAAACCTTTTTTTCAAGATTTTGAAGCAGTACGAGCTATACTTGGACTGAGATATCAACATTCCAATAATACCATGTTTGTTGCTATATACGGGCGGAGCAAAAACTCAGCTATTGTGCCGTAAAATTAAGAGTTAAGGCTGCTCTTTCACACTTATTTAAAGCTTTTTTCAAGATTTTGAAGCAGTACGAGCTATACTTTGACTGAGATCTCAACATTCCAATAATACCATGTTTGGTGCTAAATACGAGCGGAGCAAAAACTCAGCTATTGTGCCGTAAAATTAAGAGTAAAGGCAGCTATATCACACTATTTTAAAGCTTTTTTTCAAGATTTTGAAGCAGTACGAGCTATACTTTGACTGAGATCTCAACATTCCAATAATACCATGTTTGGTGCTAAATACGAGCGGAGCAAAAACTCAGCTATTGTGCCGTAAAATTAAGAGTAAAGGCAGCTATATCACACTATTTTAAAGCTTTTTTTCAAGATTTTGAAGCAGTACGAGCTATACTTTGACTGAGATCTCAACATTCCAATAATACCATGTTTGGTGCTAAATACGAGCGGAGCAAAAAACTCAGCAATTGTGCTGTAAAATCAAGAGTTAAGGCTGCTCTTTCACACTATTTTAAACCTTTTTTTCAAGATTTTGAAGCAGTACGAGCTATACTTGGACTGAGATATCAACATTCCAATAATACCATGTTTGTTGCTATATACGGGCGGAGCAAAAACTCAGCTATTGTGCCGTAAAATTAAGTGTTAAGGCTGCTCTTTCACACTATTTTAAAGCTTTTTTTCAAGATTTTGAAGCAGTACGAGCTATACTTTGACTGAGATCTCAACATTCCAATAATACCATGTTTGGTGCTAAATACGAGCGATGCAAAAAACTCAGCAATTGTGCCGTAAAATTAAGAGTTAAGGCTGCTCTTTCACACTATTTTAAAGCTTTTTTTCAAGATTTTGAAGCAGTACGAGCTATACTTTGACTGAGATCTCAACATTCCAATAATACCATGTTTGGTGCTATATACAAGCGGAGCAAAAACTCAGCTATTGTGCCGTAAAATTAAGAGTTAAGGCTGCTCTTTCACACTATTTTAAAGCTTTTTATCAAGATTTTGAAGCAGTACGAGCTATACTTTGACTGAGATCAGCTATTGTGCCGTAAAATTAAGAGTTAAGGCTGCTCTTTCACACTATTTTAAAGCTTTTTTTCTAGATTTTGAAGCAGGACGAGCTATACTTTGACTGAGATATCAACATTCCAATAATACCATGTTTGGTGCTATATACGAGCGGAGCACAAACTCAGCTATTGTGCCGTAGAATTAAGAGTTAAGGCTGCTCTTTCACACTATTTTAAAGCTTTTTTTCTAGATTTTGAAGCAGTACGAGCTATACTTTGACTGAGATCTCAACATTCCAATAATACCATGTTTGGTGCTAAATACGAGCGATGCAAAAAACTCAGCAATTGTGCCGTAAAATTAAGAGTTAAGGCTGCTCTTTCACACTATTTTAAAGCTTTTTTTCAAGATTTTGAAGCAGTACGAGCTATACTTTGACTGAGATCTCAACATTCCAATAATACCATGTTTGGTGCTAAATACGAGCGGAGATAAAAACTCAGCAATTGTGCCGTAAAATTAAGAGGTATGGCTGCTCTTTCACACTATTTTAAAGCTTTTTTTCAAGATTTTGAAGCAGTACGAGCTATACTTTGACTGAGATCTCAACATTCCAATAATACCATGTTTGGTGCTAAATACGAGCGATGCAAAAAACTCAGCAATTGTGCCGTAAAATTAAGAGTTAAGGCTGCTCTTTCACACTATTTTAAAGCTTTTTTTCAAGATTTTGAAGCAGTACGAGCTATACTTTGACTGAGATCTCAACATTCCAATAATACCATGTTTGGTGCTATATACAAGCGGAGCAAAAACTCAGCTATTGTGCCGTAAAATTAAGAGTTAAGGCTGCTCTTTCACACTATTTTAAAGCTTTTTATCAAGATTTTGAAGCAGTACGAGCTATACTTTGACTGAGATCAGCTATTGTGCCGTAAAATTAAGAGTTAAGGCTGCTCTTTCACACTATTTTAAAGCTTTTTTTCTAGATTTTGAAGCAGGACGAGCTATACTTTGACTGAGATATCAACATTCCAATAATACCATGTTTGGTGCTATATACGAGCGGAGCACAAACTCAGCTATTGTGCCGTAGAATTAAGAGTTAAGGCTGCTCTTTCACACTATTTTAAAGCTTTTTTTCTAGATTTTGAAGCAGTACGAGCTATACTTTGACTGAGATCTCAACATTCCAATAATACCATGTTTGGTGCTAAATACGAGCGATGCAAAAAACTCAGCAATTGTGCCGTAAAATTAAGAGTTAAGGCTGCTCTTTCACACTATTTTAAAGCTTTTTTTCAAGATTTTGAAGCAGTACGAGCTATACTTTGACTGAGATCTCAACATTCCAATAATACCATGTTTGGTGCTAAATACGAGCGGAGCAAAAAACTCAGCAATTGTGCTGTAAAATCAAGAGTTAAGGCTGCTCTTTCACACTATTTTAAACCTTTTTTTCAAGATTTTGAAGCAGTACGAGCTATACTTGGACTGAGATATCAACATTCCAATAATACCATGTTTGTTGCTATATACGGGCGGAGCAAAAACTCAGCTATTGTGCCGTAAAATTAAGAGTTAAGGCTGCTCTTTCACACTTATTTAAAGCTTTTTTCAAGATTTTGAAGCAGTACGAGCTATACTTTGACTGAGATCTCAACATTCCAATAATACCATGTTTGGTGCTAAATACGAGCGGAGCAAAAACTCAGCTATTGTGCCGTAAAATTAAGAGTAAAGGCAGCTATATCACACTATTTTAAAGCTTTTTTTCAAGATTTTGAAGCAGTACGAGCTATACTTTGACTGAGATCTCAACATTCCAATAATACCATGTTTGGTGCTAAATACGAGCGGAGCAAAAAACTCAGCAATTGTGCTGTAAAATCAAGAGTTAAGGCTGCTCTTTCACACTATTTTAAACCTTTTTTTCAAGATTTTGAAGCAGTACGAGCTATACTTGGACTGAGATATCAACATTCCAATAATACCATGTTTGTTGCTATATACGGGCGGAGCAAAAACTCAGCTATTGTGCCGTAAAATTAAGTGTTAAGGCTGCTCTTTCACACTATTTTAAAGCTTTTTTTCAAGATTTTGAAGCAGTACGAGCTATACTTTGACTGAGATCTCAACATTCCAATAATACCATGTTTGGTGCTAAATACGAGCGATGCAAAAAACTCAGCAATTGTGCCGTAAAATTAAGAGTTAAGGCTGCTCTTTCACACTATTTTAAAGCTTTTTTTCAAGATTTTGAAGCAGTACGAGCTATACTTTGACTGAGATCTCAACATTCCAATAATACCATGTTTGGTGCTATATACAAGCGGAGCAAAAACTCAGCTATTGTGCCGTAAAATTAAGAGTTAAGGCTGCTCTTTCACACTATTTTAAAGCTTTTTTTCAAGATTTTGAAGCAGTACGAGCTATACTTGGACTGAGATCTCAACATTCCAATAATACCATGTTTGGTGCTATATACGAGCGGAGCAAAAACTCAGCAATTGTGCCGTAAAATTAAGAGTTATGGCTGCTCTTTCACACTATTTTAAAGCTTTTTTTCAAGATTTTGAAGCAGTACGAGCTATACTTGGACTGAGATCTCAACATTCCAATAATACCATGTTTGGTGCTATATACGAGCGGAGATAAAAACTCAGCAATTGTGCCGTAAAATTAAGAGGTATGGCTGCTCTTTCACACTATTTTAAAGCTTTTTTTCAAGATTTTGAAGCAGTACGAGCTATACTTGGACTGAGATCTCAACATTCCAATAATACCATGTTTGGTGCTATATACGAGCGGAGCAAAAACTCAGCTATTGTGCCGTAAAATTAAGTGTTAAGGCTGCTCTTTCGCACTATTTTAAAGCTTTTTTTCAAGATTTTGAAGCAGTACGAGCTATACTTTGACTGAGATCTCAACATTCCAATAATACCATGTTTGGTGCTATATACGAGCGGAGCAAAAACTCAGCTATTGTGCTGTAAAATTAAGTGTTAAGGCTGCTCTTTCACACTATTTTAAAGCTTTTTTTCAAGATTTTGAAGCAGTACGAGCTATACTTTGACTGAGATCTCAACATTCCAATAATACCATGTTTGGTGCTATATACAAGCGGAGCAAAAACTCAGCTATTGTGCCGTAAAATTAAGAGTTAAGGCTGCTCTTTCACACTATTTTAAAGCTTTTTTTCAAGATTTTGAAGCAGTACGAGCTATACTTGGACTGAGATCTCAACATTCCAATAATACCATGTTTGGTGCTATATACGAGCGGAGCAAAAACTCAGCAATTGTGCCGTAAAATTAAGAGTTATGGCTGCTCTTTCACACTATTTTAAAGCTTTTTTTCAAGATTTTGAAGCAGTACGAGCTATACTTGGACTGAGATCTCAACATTCCAATAATACCATGTTTGGTGCTATATACGAGCGGAGATAAAAACTCAGCAATTGTGCCGTAAAATTAAGAGGTATGGCTGCTCTTTCACACTATTTTAAAGCTTTTTTTCAAGATTTTGAAGCAGTACGAGCTATACTTGGACTGAGATCTCAACATTCCAATAATACCATGTTTGGTGCTATATACGAGCGGAGCAAAAACTCAGCTATTGTGCCGTAAAATTAAGTGTTAAGGCTGCTCTTTCGCACTATTTTAAAGCTTTTTTTCAAGATTTTGAAGCAGTACGAGCTATACTTTGACTGAGATCTCAACATTCCAATAATACCATGTTTGGTGCTATATACGAGCGGAGCAAAAACTCAGCTATTGTGCTGTAAAATTAAGTGTTAAGGCTGCTCTTTCACACTATTTTAAAGCTTTTTTTCAAGATTTTGAAGCAGTACGAGCTATACTTGGACTGAGATCTCAACATTCCAATAATACCATGTTTGGTGCTATATACGAGCGGAGCAAAAACTCAGCTATTGTGCCGTAAAATTAAGTGTTAAGGCTGCTCTTTCACACTATTTTAAAGCTTTTTCAAGATTTTGAAGCAGTACGAGCTATACTTGGACTGAGATCTCAACATTCCAATAATACCATGTTTGGTGTTATATACGAGCGGAGATAAAAACTCAGCAATTGTGCCGTAAAATTAAGAGGTATGGCTGCTCTTTCACACTATTTTAAAGCTTTTTTTCAAGATTTTGAAGCAGTACGAGCTATACTTTGACTGAGATCTCAACATTCCAATAATACCATGTTTGGTGCTATATACGAGCGGAGCAAAAACTCAGCTATTGTGCCGTAAAATTAAGTGTTAAGGCTGCTCTTTCGCACTATTTTAAAGCTTTTTTTCAAGATTTTGAAGCAGTACGAGCTATACTTTGACTGAGATCTCAACATTCCAATAATACCATGTTTGGTGCTATATACGAGCGGAGCAAAAACTCAGCTATTGTGCTGTAAAATTAAGTGTTAAGGCTGCTCTTTCACACTATTTTAAAGCTTTTTTTCAAGATTTTGAAGCAGTACGAGCTATACTTGGACTGAGATCTCAACATTCCAATAATACCATGTTTGGTGCTATATACGAGCGGAGCAAAAACAGCTATTGTGCCGTAAAATTAAGTGTTAAGGCTGCTCTTTCACACTATTTTAAAGCTTTTTTTCAAGATTTTGAAGCAGTACGAGCTATACTTTGACTGAGATCTCAACATTTCAATAATACCATGTTTGGTGCTAAATACGAGCGGAGCACAAACTCAGCTATTGTGCCGTAAAATAAGGAGTTAAGGCTGCTCTTTCACACTATTTTAAAGCTTTTTTTCAAGATTTTGAAGCAGTACGAGCTATACTTTGACTGAGATCTCAACATTCCAATAATACCATGTTTGGTTCTAAATACGAGCGGATCAAAAAACTCAGCAATTGTGCCGTAAAATTAAGTGTTAAGGCTGCTCTTTCACACTATTTTAAAGCTTTTTTTCAAGATTTTGAAGCAGTTCGAGCTATACTTTGACTGAGATCTCAACATTCCAATAATACCATGTTTGGTGCTAAATACGAGCGGAGAACAAACTCAGCTATTGTGCCGTAAAATTAAGAGTTAAGGCTGCTCTTTCACATGATTTCAAATCTTTTTTTCTCAATATTTCAATAACAACATTACTTCTTCTCTACTTTTATTTATAAAAATTAATGTAGATAAAAAAATATTTTTGACAAAACGCATTGATTAATAAATTAAACAACTTCATTCCACGTTTAATCTTTAACACCCTCTCCTCATTCTAATTCAGGTATCAACCGATTTACTGTCGGCCAAGAAGAACCTAAATTTAATGTCCCCATTTTCTCCAATTTGCAAGGATGACTGAATTGCCTGACAGAAAATTATTTCCGCTTTATTCAGTGCATAGCTCTCTCTTCTCCCTCCAACAGCTTATTTATAATTTAATATCTCGCATTAGCGCGGACTGCTCGAGTGCAAATCGCGATGCACATTTCTCGAGAGCATTCACGTCTCGTCGCCTCCAGCGCAGGAATGACTTCTCATTAATTGACTGCTGCACTCGCAATGAAAAGTCTCGCTCCGCCGCCTCTCTCTTGCTCTTGCATTATTTTGTTTACTAGCAGCCTTCCTTTGGTTTGCAACTGGAATTTCTCCACAATATTATACATTGCGACATTGCGGCTCACAACCCTTTTGCAGCAGGAATGCTGAATCGCACAAATCATCGAGCGCTCGCTGCGTTTTAATTGCATCCTTTGCCTCCACCCCTGCTCAAATAATACCAGTCATTGGAAATTTACGACGCAATTTATCAGTGCGTGTGTCTGTGGTCGAGCGTTTGTTTTTAAAAATTGAAGAAAAAAAATTGTGTGTAACAAAACTTTGTTTGAGGTTGTTGCCTCGCAGGTCAAAGTTCGCTGCTCTTTCCATTGTCAAGAGAGATGCTCACTTCCTGCAGGTATTCAGCGCAAGCAAGCCACACACCAATAAACTGATGCAATTCAAATTCACAACCGCATGTCTGTGGTTTGTAAAATTACCATATATACCGGAGCGTTTCAATAAGGATGTTAATTAGGCGATTGTTATCGCAAGGCCTCTTGATGGTAATTCCACCGCCGCACCTCCTTGGCTGCCAGTTCAGGCATGAGAATTAGTTTGCACGTCACTATGTCTTACATTATTGTCATAGCATTCCGCATCATTTCATTGATGATTTTTTGACCATGCAACAGTAAAAAGCGGTTAAAAGTATTTATTAATACCATAGAAGAAGTTCAAAGTAGGAAACATTTAATGCAATAATTAAAATTTTGTTTAAACTTCTTCAAATATTTTGTTTAATATTTTTTCAAATACAACACAAGAATCTGATAGCCTTTAGTGATAGCATGTAAATATGTTATTTAGAGATTTGATTTTTATTTTTAGAAACGAAAATAGCTGTGAAGAAATCAAGATAAAATTTTCTTTCTATAAATCAATTTAACCATTTTTAGAGAATAAGTCTTAACTACTCCAAGAATATTTTTTACTTGTTCACAATTGATTTTACTTTTACAGTAATTTTGAAAATTGATGACATGTGTACTAACATTCAAATTATTAAAAACTTTCACCTTTATAAATGATCAATTATTTGAAATATTAGGAAAAACGCGTTCCAAACAAAACGTACATTATATTTATGAGAATGAATGTATGCAACGTGCATAAACACGCCAATAATAAAATATGAAAAAAAGTAATGTAAAAGGGCTCATAACGGACGCTGTAGAGATGTGGTGACGGCAGTGGCGAGTTAGCTTGGCTATGCAAAGTGCGGTTTTGTGTTATCTTTCGGTGCACAGACGAGGCTTTTCAGCTCGAGAGACTTTTTGCCACCGCACCATTGTCACAAGAATTTCCGACCCTTTGTGTCGGCGGGCGCCATTGTTGGCAGTGCGGATTGTTGAGACGGATGAGCGGCAAACAGCGTCTCTTCCGCCCCAACAATGCCTCGGAATAAACGCCGCCGGCGATGAGCAGCGCACGATATTTATCTTGCGGTAGGTCACGTTTGTCACGAAGCCAAGAAACCGCTGCCAACTGGGGCGATTTCCTTCTTGCAAGTCGCTTTTTGCAGCTGCCAAGTGTGCTGCCGCGCGCTTTGCACCCTTTTTGTGTGACGAGGCAATTAACTGGCAATTATTCGCACTAGCGGACTACATTATCAGATCATGTAAAATAAAATTAAAAGCTATCACAATATAAATGCGTTTTTTAAGTAACTTTTATTTCAAATGTTTATATATAACATTTTTATACCTCTTTCAAATTCAATTTTACCTTTCTTTAATGTAATATTATTGATTATTTTTTTTTTAAAATTTTACATATTTAGTATTTAATAATTTTACATGTTTTACTTCTTAGCTAACGGTTTAATTTGCATATAAACTAATTATTTTTTTTATGATTTCTAATATTATTTTTTCAAATCTGTGAAAATGTGATGTGAAGGCAAATTATTACTACTACTACCTTAAATAAAGCGTTTCATTGAATTTATATCTAAAATTATTGATTTTATGCAGCCTTTAATAATTACTCACTCATGAAGTCTTGGCGGATCTGTTTAACAAAATATTATTTTAGAAGTAAGAAGACTTACCAGATAGTTGGATCGGTTGACTTATTGTTAGTTCCCAATTTTATTGGTTATGAATCAAACCTGAATCAAACATAGAATTTTCAAAAATAGTTTTTAACAGATTTTTTACGAAGAAAAAAATTAATATCAGTTAATTTTTCTCGTGTTTTAAGAGATTTATCGAAATTAAAATTTAAAACGGTTTTTGTTCTGGAAGATTTAGCTTTTAAATATTAATAAAAATAAAGGCATTAACTTGTTTGCGGTTAATATGGCAAAATTTTAGCAGATATTGGCTATATTTGAGGTCGTTGGCGATGATTCATTAAACCTTCAATCTCAACATATTGGTCTTCATAAAAGTCGCGATAAATGTTTGCTGGACGAGCAGCTTAAATGGTGACTTGGGTCGCCACCATAGCAGCTGGTCTCCCACCAGCACACGCTATTCCCGGCGCTCGTCCATCAAAGATGCTCCACGGACCAATAAAGCAGGTCCTTTTTATTATGCTAATCGGGTCATTTCTCATTTCGCGGGCTCAATATCCCTGGATGCACTTTAACGCTGCACTTGAGCGCCGTTGACAGTCGCTTTAATGAGCGCAATTTTTCTTTCATGCCCTCGTAAAGCTTGGCGTGTGCGCGCGTGCAAGATGCAGCCTGTGGGATTAAGTCGTGTCGCCCGAGCTCGAGCTGCCTGTCGACTGCAGTTTCCCTCTCTTATACCTTTGCCAGCAACTTCTGGCCGGGACCAAGAAACTTTTAATCTCGCTCGCCGCCGCTCAGCAAGTTACCTATTTTCATAACACACACACAGAAGGCCGCCGCCGCTGCCGCTTTTTAATTAAATCAACTTTTAGAGCTCTTTCAAGCTTCTCTTTGGCCGTAACTCTCCCGACTGCTTCTGTAGCTCGCGCAAAAGGCTTGATCAGCAAATTAGCTTAAATTTTAATTGGCCGTTTGATCTTATAAAGCATGCACGGTTTTTCCCCCACAAACTTGTTTTTATACTGCGTTGGCCGTTTGTCTTTGAGAGAACTTTCTTTCTAGTTCACTATGAGCTACATTAAGAGGTTTAATTTGAATTTTGAAAATTTTCCTCAAAAGTTGGGTGAGAGGGCTTTAGTAAAATTCTAAAAATAATTTTTTAACTTCAATAATAGCAAAGTTTACTTACACTAGGTAAGTAAATAAAATAATATTTATTTTAGGGCAAATTTTAATCAATAATTATATCTCTGTCCACATAGAATTACTTGGTGAATTGAGTTTAAAGTCAGCTTTTCCTCAATGGGTTTAGTGAGTTGTTTATTTTTTTAGAAAATCAATATCCTGCTCTTTCTTAAAAAATAAACGAGTGAGAAAATCCATCGAGAAAAAGCTGACTTTAAATTCAAATGTCAGGGCCCGACCTGACCGTGACACTCATCACTCACTAACTGTGCCAATAGACTAAACATTAAATCAGCAAGTTCCGCGTATCTTTGTATCGTCAGCATAATTAGACTATTTAAGCAGCTGTTATACAATTCTGTAGACATTCGGCATTACCATGGAATAAACCAAATTACTCTCAATCAAACCAAGTGCTTCACCAAGTCCAGGCCCAGTTGGGCTGCGAGCCGCTACCCGGCCCGCCAGACTGACATGTGGAGGCACCGAGCGAGCGTCCCCGAGCTGATGGACCTGACGACTGTCTGATGGTTGGAGGCACCAAGACGGCAATCAACCCCAACCTGACGACTGCGGCTGTGACCCCACGACACAACCGGAGAAGGCCATCATCTCCCGGACGTCATTTTAACATCTATTGGACCTGGATTTTGGGCCTGAAGTCATCCTTACACTGCATTGAAAATTTCCCATTTCCATTTTTACTACAAAATTGGTTAGCGAGCTTTATCCCCCTTCTCCCTTCTTTCTTTTTCTTTCGATTTTTTCCCGGGGGAGACTAGTATATAAGATAATTGCGCCACATCTCAATGCGCCACGTGAAGTGAAAGGGTCCAATTTCATGATTTACAAACCCTCAATGCCACGAAATGATATATCAATGATGTTTAATTTTAAGTATGTAAAACTCGCTCGCTCACCAGTTATTTATTGTCCCTTCCCTCTGTTTCCGTGTATAACGTTTGTACTGGAACTGAAATCACCTGCAGGAGTTGTAAGACTGCGACAACGCACTGAAGGATGACATCGGCAGAAACTTCAATTGACGGCTCAACACATTTTGTATTTTTGAACCATTTAATCAGCTGTTTATATCATTCTATTATTGTCATTCTTTCTTTGTTGACTCATTTGCCGGCGGAGGTGTCAGGGCCCGACCTGACCGTGACACTCATCACTCACTAACTGTGCCAATAGACTAAACATTAAATCAGCAAGTTCCGCGTATCTTTGTATCGTCAGCATAATTAGACTATTTAAGCAGCTGTTATACAATTCTGTAGACATTCGGCATTACCATGGAATAAACCAAATTACTCTCAATCAAACCAAGTGCTTCACCAAGTCCAGGCCCAGTTGGGCTGCGAGCCGCTACCCGGCCCGCCAGTCTGACACAAATCACCATGAATCAACCCTCTATTGTGAAATTCTACTACAAAATAGAATCAGAAACAGTATTTTTTATCAGACATAATTTTTTTTTGTACCGAATAAAAAATGAATACTAACAGCAGGGAACTAATTTAACCCTTTTAAATGCTTAAAACTTAATTTCAAACTTTTTGCATTTAAATACTATCATGATTTATTTTCTTGACAAAAAAATGAAAGAAATCATAAAGAAGTTTCAATATAAATTTCACCCATGATGTCAACATGTATTATTTTACTCAGCTCAGTTCCAAAATTGACACTCAAGACTCATGAAGAGATTATGCGTTCATGATAATTGAAGATAATATGCCGAAATTTTTTTATATACCGGCCTTTTTTTAAATGCAGATTATGTTTATTTTAATTATGCAAAACTGGGCCGACAGGCAGCGTTTCAACTTTCATTTTAGGTAAAAAAAAAGTTATTCCACACTAAAATTTACATCCCTTTCATGTCAATAAAAATCATTTAGAGTTAACGTATGACTTTTTTATAAATTCAAGAAATTTTGATTCAGACATCGGTGAGTCCTTCAATTTGTAAAATTGTCGCTGCTGCTGGAAGTGTGCAAATTGAGTGAAACCGCTGCCCGGTGCCGAGAACTTTTCGCGTCTGAAAGATCAAGAGCGGAATCAATTAATCCACCTCGGACTCTCTCGGGGCGATGAACTGCCCTTGTGGTACGAGTGATAATTATTTCACCCTTTGCTGCGCGAACAAGTTGGAAACCCTTTCATCTGCAAACTCGCCGACTGCTCGTGATGAGGAGAGAGAGAGAGAGATACAGAGCAGACCTTGCGATGATGAGCGGCTCTGCCTGAAATTCAAGCAGGAAAATTCGCTTGTTTCAAAACATCACAGTGGCATCAAATTGCAGCGCGACCGGCCTTTCTGCCGCTGACAACGCTTTGTCTTCCCACATCAGCGCAGCGAAAGGGCCGAAATTTCCTGCTGGGTGAGATGCTTTTGTAGTATTCCAACCAAGTTGCTGACCTTTGAGGAAATCTCTCGCACCATTGTCTGCAACCAGGTTCCATTTATTTATTTTTTTTCGTCTGGTTTCGCTTCCTTCTTTTCTCGCACGAAAATCGGCGAGGCGTGCAAGAAAAACTGCCCGCTCGTGTTTTTTCTCCGTCGCACCTGCGTGAGTTTGGCTAATTCAATCCTCGAGATTGCCGCATAAATATTTATTATCGCTGTGGGTGTGTGTTTTGATGATGTAAAGAGGGCCAGCCACATACAGACGAAAACACGCGGTACCTACAAAGCAGCGAGAGAGATGATCAAAACATCAGATGCAGTAATCCACTTACGAAACACCGCCGCAACTCCCCCGACTTCTGTTCGCTCTTTGCCGACGCTCTCCACCTTTGTGCAAAGCAAATTGCCCATGTGTTGTTGGTTCGGACTGCAAAAATTTTCATCACGGGAACTTAATCATCAGCGTTTGCGAGAGTGAGGGCTTAGAGCGTGGGTCTTCTGTAATTAAAATTGCACAAAGAGAGGAAGTAATTAAAACGAGCAATAATTGAAAACTGTTCAAAGTTAGCAATCGATTCTGATATGGAGGTAAAGTAATTAGCTGAAAATTTAGAAGTATGAAATTATGCAACATTAGAATACTCTTTTGTTGATATTGGGAAGTAAAATATTAATTTACAATACTATTAATTTTTTGGGGTGATTTATTTTAAATAAAATCTTATTTTTTTGTATTTTATAAATTTTTATGGTAAATGAAACATAAAATTAAATTTATTTAACGATTTTATGTGTAAGAAATTCATTTTAAGGTTCATAATTATTTATTATTGAAACTAACTCAACATTATATATCATTGTACTTATTTCCTGTAATGTAAATCGCATTAACTTTGGGATGAATTATTAAATTTATTGCTATGAATTCACTAGATTAAAAATAATCCAAATTTTTGTCACCTAAAATATGTAGCACAAGCCAGCGGAAACGCGCGCCTTTTACTAAAAATTGAGTTTACTGACACATCATTTAATGCAATTTAATGTTTATAATCTAATTTAGAATTGAATATATTCTTCATTACATATTAAAATATTAATAAAATAACAATATTGGTAGTCACCGGTAAAAATTATTTGGCTCAATTTGAGCTTATCTTTGAATTTAAATAATTTAGTTTTTATTCATGTCCGTCAAGCAGATGGTTTGATGATGGGGGGCTTGTTGGCCAAAAAAAAGACGAAACTTGATTGCACCGCATTGGCCCGGTTAACTTTTTGACTGCGCCGATGGCTGTCCAGACGGCACTACTTTTAACGGGCAAAGTTTGTTATACTTTTTGTGTGTTGTGCCCATGTGTATATGTTTGCCTGTGCGTGGCCCGCTCGCTTTTTTGTCAGGGCCAGCCTGCTTGCACACAGTGCCTAATTACAGGCTTTGTCCTCTTCGGAAGCAAAGGCCAATATAATGCGCCTTCTAATTGGTCACTGCTGGCGCTGATTATTTCCACCCTCCTCTCGTAATTAGCGGACCGATTGTTTTTATGCCTTTTATTTGCAGAGCAGACGAAGGGCCTCTCTCTCTCTAATTCACCCTTTGACTAGCAGGTTTTTCGCGAAAATCGCATTACGAGGATAAGAAAAAAATTCGACAGAGTTCCTCAAATAAAATTGAGAATAAATTATATCCCGAGACCATATCATCTTCTGCAAAACTTTCTCGCAAGCAAACGAGGCTGTTACCGAAATCACTCCGTTCCTCGCCCACTCCACTACTTTTCTCCCTTTCAGCGCCGAATCAAATTAATGAAAGCGAGTTTCTGGCGAAAGTTTTATTCGCCACTCCCGGGGCGCAGGTGCTCCGTCTCGTTTTGACACATTGCCATTTTTCTCTGCTCATTACCATGAGACAGAAGTTTTTAATTAGGAGTGACGATTGATTTCCTTTGTCGTTTTGTTGCAGGCGCGTGCCACCGAGCTCTGGGCATGGAGGAGGGCCGCATTCCTGACGAGTCCATTTCGGCCACGTCGTCCTTTGACGTCAAATCTGTCGGGCCGCAGAATGCAAGGTAAGCTATGAATAAAAAATACTGCTATTAAGGTTTAGATTTTATAAAGAATAAAACAGCTTATTTTAAATAAGTTCAATTGCAATTATAAATCATTATATTTATGTTTAATGACTTTTTTTGTTATAAATTGTAAATAATTTTTTTAAATTTGTTCGGGCTCATCATCAGGGTGGGAGCTTAACCTCTATTAAAGATTAAAATAATAAAATCGAAAACAGGTTTTCATAAAAACTGGTATATTACTTTTACATCCTAATATTGAAATTTTTTAAGAAATTGTTGTTTAGTTGCAAATTTAGTTGCAAATTAGGTTTATTGGTGTACCACAAGGCAATCTCTGCCTATAACGAGATACATCATCTAGATATTCAAAATTATAAATGAAAACTACAAACAAAATTTGAGTTAGAAAAAAAAATCACATACGCATTTTCTTTATTTTGTTTATGGTCTTCTTGCAATATTTTCCGCGTGGCTGAATCAATAACTGGATTCCGTTGAGTCGTGGGTTTTTTGCTGAAGGCGCTAATTAAAATCGCGGCCCCCACTCGGCCTCCTCCTTCTTCATCATTGTTATTACCAAAATATTCGACGCCGGCTTAGATACGAAATTAATTAGCGAGATTAAAACAAAACTGCTCCTCTGGCATCCAGTCGAGCATGAGTCTGATGTAATCTCTCAAAAGCAGTTTGAACAGAGCGAGAGGCGAATTATAATTATATATACAACACAAAGTGGCCTCTTCCTTGGCTTGGCTCAGTCGGAGAGAGAGAAAGAAATACCCAGAATTAAAAAAGAGAGGCAAAGAAGGAAAAAAAGAGAGCAAAAGAAGTCAAATAAGAAAAGTCCCTTTTGGATTGCGGTTAATAAAGGCCGGGCTAGCTTTCGGTTGGTCGGCAAAGAGAGATGAGAGCAGAGAGAAATCAATGAAATGTAAAATATTGAAGACATGAAATATCGGCGGCATGCACACAAGTTCGCTTCTGAATATAAATCAGCTGCGCAAAGGGCATGCATACAAAAATATGAGCTGCTTTCATCCCCCAAAGTGGAAAAAGACCGACCAGGGTCGGCCGCCGCTGGCAGACACGTTGCGCCTAGGGATGAAACGTGAATTTCGCAAGCTTCGTTTGCGACTGACCGTTTCTCCCCTCGACCGTTTTTCACAAAGACTGCCTCTGATCCGCATAATCAGATTCCGCAGCTATCGAGTGCACTTCCAATTTGTCTCGTGTGCATTTTCTGATTGCAAAATTGTTTAGTAAAGTCTTATATGTTATAAAAAAAGAGACATAAATTGCATTTAATAATGTTTTCACCAAATAACCTGATGAAATATTTTGATTTAACTTTTTACAAAAATATGAAATTATTTGCACTCAATTCTGATTTAATTTCAAATAACAAAATCAGATTTAAAAGTATACAGAAAATTTCTTTTTCATTTGGGAATCTCTCGAAATAATTATTCTTCATTGTCTTTTATTCGTTTTTGAACAAAGGAAAAAAAAGAGTAATTGCAGATTAACGCGTGTGCCTGGGAGCGAATATGCATATTACTTTGAAAAAGCACTTTTGATGTGCAAAACCTCGCCACGTGGAATAATAATATTTATATTTAATTATTCTCCGGCACGGTCCCCTCTCGCAGTTTTCGTGAGTTTATTTTGTACCTGGCTGCGAGTCGTCGGGCCGTTTTGGATGGCTGCTGTGTATATTTAAAAATAACATTTCCCTCCGCTGCTCCGCTCCTCTCTCTTCTACCCTCTCCTGCAGGGTTGCCCAGCTTTGCCGGGTTGTTGCCTTGGAAACTAGCGAGGAATCAAGTTTCCCAAATGATCACCCGAGGACTTTTGATTTTTGCCGCATACGTTGAGAGCAAGTTTTGATGCTGACAGTTTCCTATTTGTTTCAATTCCGTTTTTTACATCACATTACTTGCCAACGATGTTTTGACCTTTTGCTTGAAATCAATACGATCTCAAATTCACCATAAACGAGGAGTTTTAAAATTTACCAAAATTAGACTTTGCTCACGATATTTCAAACTTTGATTGTTTCACTATTATCCAGATAAATGATTTCATTTCATGCAATAACACTTTGAAATTTGAAAAATCTAATTATTTTCTTTTAAACAGTGTAAAAATAAAAAATTCATCTTCATTAATTACATACATGTTTTTTTTTCTTTCTTTTTCTTTTTAAAAACGAAAAATTAGTTCTGGGCTGAGCACTTGTTTATCTACGGGAATTTACTACTGGGGTTGAAAACGAGGGAGAAGAGCGTGTTTTTTCCGCTTAGTTTTTCCGAGAGAACAAGGTGCGCTCTTGTCCCATTCTCCGGTTTTAATTAATGACGACGTTCAAGGACCTTATTCGTTTTCCTCTTTCATTCTCAGGGCCTGGAGATAAGAAAGAGTGTGTTTGCGAGTGTTTTTCATTGTTTTGCCGGACAAAACAAGTTGGATTGCGTGTCCAGAGCAGAGATAATGGAGAGGGAAAGTGATTATCCCTGGTGTAGCTCGCGTGCGCCGCTCGCTCGTCGGTGTGCGTGGCTTGATAAATGTTCTTATTCCCACCTACTTTAAGTGCACATTCGGCGGCAGAAACATGCCATTTCCTCCTCGACCCCCAGACCCACATTACCCGTCGCTAATGGAAAAAGGTGTGCAGATTGAAAATTATGGTCCCTCTCTCTCTCTCTCACCCGACGGCCAAATTGTATAATGAGCTGGACTCGGGATTTATTCTCGCTTAAAACACACGCGGACGACTACTGCAGAGTGCCGAGGACTTTAATTGGAGCTGGCGCCTCCTTCGGCCGCAAAACGAGCTTTCTGACCTAATGAAGGGCCACGCGTTTGGGGATTGCGTTTGTTTAATTATGCCACTCTTGGACAAACGACAGAAAGACCGCAAAGCTGAACTTCTACAGCAACTCCGCATCCTTAATAATTTTCAGCTTTAGTTTGCCGAGTGTAAAAAACATATTTCTAAGGATCACTTTGAGAATATTAAATACTAATTAATACAAATAATACGACTTCTTACAATTATTCCATTTTTAATAATTTGTCTGATGTATTAACAATTTTTCAGCTGAATTGAAGTAAAAATAGATTATGCTTTTTCGGATTTCATACTTGGATTTAGCTGGTCTGGAAACTCTTGGAACAAGTATTAATACTTTTTTTAAAAAATTTGAAACCATGGTAGATTTGGTCTTTCAGTTTTCCCCTAATCTGATATTATATAGATTTAAATTATTTTAATCATCATAATATCTAACATCCTCCGGAACTTAATTAAAAGTAAATAGATGCTCAAGTACCTTTTTATGTTTTTAAATATATCGCAATGCAAATTTTTTTTTTTTTTTTAAACTTTTTGTGTTCTCTGCTGAAACATCTTTAGCTAAATACATCAATGTTATAATTTTTTAACAAATTATCATTAATAAAATATAAAAGTAAAAAAGTAAAGTAAGAAAAAAAATTTAATTTAAAATTTAAATGCTTTAAATTCTAGTATAATTTTATGCTTTGTAAAAAAATTTTAACTTATTTTGCCAGTATCTTTGTGTTGTCTGAAATTGTTTTTATATTTTATTTCCTTTCAATGCTGAGTTCTGCATTTTAAAATCACTGTTTTATATCAAGCTGCGTATGTAGTAAAAATCTAAGAATTCATGGCGCATTACGTACACCGTTGATTTATACAATTTGCTCCATTCTCTTGGCATTCATCGCAATTGGATTCCAATGAAAAATTAATTTTTAAATTATAGGCCGTAGTTTGTAGTCATGTCGACGAAATGTGGGTGTACAGTATGGTTGTCGGTCGCTCTTGGGAGTTTTGCAGGCATCCATAATTTATGAGAAAATCGCAAGGGTCGTATATCTGCAAAGGGCCACTGCTTGAGAGCGTGTCGGTGCGGCGGGTGGGCGTGACGTCACCGGTGCTTGAGCACACGCCACCACTTACTTACCTTTCAATAGTGCCGGCCCTGCAGCTTTTCCGCCAAAGCTGCTGCTTTTCCGCATGAAATTTCGCAATAATTGGCCGGGCTGGCTTGTTATTAGCGAATCAGGCCCGATTCAATTATACTTCCCCCTTTTGTGCCGCTGGTGATGAGATCACTATATCTCTCGCGCTCCGAAAAATATGCATGGGATTTTCCTTTTGAAACGCGCTCGGTGCGTGGATATTATTCTCATCCCTCTCTTTTTTGCCCGGCCGAATAAATCGGACTGCGAATTATTATTTCATTTGTAATCCAGTTTCGCGTTTTACCTCCGGCTTTCTAGTCCTCTCTTTTTGAAATCTGAGAATGATTAAACTTGATTTCAAAGGTAATGGTGATAGCGCACAGGACTATTTAATGACGTTTGTTTTGAGAAAGGGGTAGATGGAATTGGTTTTGCTTGCGCGCATTATTCGCAGTCAAAGCAGCTTTTTCTTGACTAGCGGCGTTCATCCGTTTCAAAAGTTTTGTTGCAACTTCAAAGAGCAAGCAAGCTTTTCGTTTTTGCTGCCAACGAGGAGAAAAACAAACTTGCCTACCTTTCAAGTTCTGCATATAAATACATAAACAGGAAAAGCCGTATACTCGAATTTCCTGATTGCGCGAATTTAATTTATCGACTGCTGCGCTGCGGAAATATCGGTTTATCGATTTACGAAGAAATGCTTCACCGCACCTCTCGCAGCTTTTTACCTTTTCAGCGGAGCAGAGAGGTTTTGATAGTGGGTGTGCAAATGGGTGTGTGTGTGCCTTAATTATTACACAGCGAGCAGAGCAGGTAACGGCGGCTAATGGAAATCCTCCCCTCCGGAAAAAAAGATGAAAGAGCATTTTTATGCTGGTGGATAATTTGGCAGAAAAAAAGCATAATCCGGTTCTGAGGAAACAAGGATCTTGCATTAAGCCCGGGTGCTCGGAAGGAACCAAGAAAGTTGACAAATTTGCCGGGAAAACGGAGGAGGGGTCGAC